ACACACACACACACACACACACACACACACACACACACACACACACAGTTCAGTAACTGTTTAAATATGGCCTACATATGGGGACAAAACACAATTTTAACAGAAACACATAATTCGGGAGAACTGAACACCAACAAGTACAACACAGAATAAGATATCAGTCCCAAGTGCACAATAATCTTAATGCACGGATTTACAACAATTAGCTTTTTTAAACTCAAATGTTTCTGTTCATAATGTTTTCAGTTAACACATTTAAAAATCTACTCCAATCCTCTACTATTTTGTGAATATAATACGTACTTTTGTGATGGCCAAATACTAATGCATTACAATTAAAATAAAAGTAAAAACATTTCCATCCCCACAGAGTAACATCCTCTTAGCCCCCACTTCTCCCTCTTACTAACCTCCCTGAGCATCTTATTGGATCAGGCATGGTGGTGTAGTTATGCTTCACTGTGTGCGCATAGTAGTGTATGGGCAAAACACCACCAATAACGTAGTCACCATCCATTGAGAATGCAGGCAGACGAGTGGTACCCTGGAGCTTGCATTTAACCGATGAAGCCTCAGTGCTGAGCCCAACACCAGTCCTCTCCTCTGTAAGCCGAGCCCTTTGTTTCACACCATCCCCAGAACCATTCAAGGCAACAGCTGAGTTCAGCTCACACAAACCCAGCGACAGGATCAGACCAATAAAGAGAGCTGACATCTCCATCCCTCAACTGTCCTCATGTGGGCATACTGTGTTTTCACAGGTTAATATAGATTTTCAGATTGAAGCTTTCCTCTGACAGTACGTCAGCTTACTGTACGTCAGAGAGAGGATGCTCTTACCCAGTGGTCTTTGATTAACTATTGTCCAAGTTTTTTTTGTGAAATGTGTGCACAATATGCTCTGCTGTAAGTGCTATATTTATTTTCTCTTCTGTTAAAGTTACCATTGTAAACATTAAATATCTTCTTATTATCTCTACACCCTTACACCTTTTTGCTGTTTTAGCTCATATTACAGTTCAGCCTAACAAATGGGTTGTTTGTGTGGTTAAATCACATATTAAATAATGCCAACACATAAATATTAGTAAAGTAGCACTGACTTTATAAAAGAGAAAGAAACACATATTTATATTATTATTTCTGTACTTTATATTTCTTTACTTTATTCATTCACTTTCTTCTATATTTTCAGAACTTGATAAAATATTTGTGAAATGAGAAGAAAATAATTTTAAAAGGATTTTCACAAAACATTACAATTAATAAAACATTTAATGTACAGAAACTTAAAATATAAATATTTAAACGAGGTGAAACTGAATGTTTTATCATGAACTTTATACTGAACGTTGCTGTTGAAGCTATAATCTAGTGTTGTGTTTTTTTTGTATCCTTACCTAAAACAAAGGGTGATTGTATACATGCAGTTCTGACAATGATCACAGATTGGAGTATTAATGTATGAAGTGCACATAGGTAAGCTGCAGGTGATGAGAATCAGGTGTGTAG